CAGTAAGAAAGACTGGTCAGGAAGAAGCCAGTGTAATAAGTTCAAAATCAATTTTAAACTACAATTCTGTATTGCAAAGAATTTTACAGTGAATCCTGGAACCTGATTATCCCACTGATTTAAAAAAAGTATAAGACAAAGTTTTTAATCAGAAATTAAATAGAAATTGCACTTAATAAATTCTATATATCAAATAAATGGTTCAAGGGAATTTTTATTTTAATAGACTTAAAGATAACCTAATTTAGTTCTGATAATCAGATAATCTCAAGTGTAGATAAAGATACATCCTGATACATATCCATATATCCTTTATTTATTTTTTCACTTAAATAGTTTCTTCTATATACCAACAATCTTGTAGATGCAAAAAATGTATCTAGCATTGAGGATATTAGCAAATAAAACTTATTTGAACCACAGAAACTCTCTATCCAAGGATTTATGGAACATTTTAAACTGTAACCCTAAAAACAACAGCCTTGCTGCTTTTTTTTAACAAAATATTTAACCTCTTGCACTTGGTTTTTATTCTCCTACATCAAATTTAATACTTCTCGCAAATTTATTATAACTGAGGTTGTCCAAGTCATTTTGTTTTTTTCACTTGTGCTATTTTACTCTGAACTGTAGATAGGAATAGCCAAGTGGGTGAAGTGTGCTGTCACTGTGAAAACTGTTGTTGCCTTCAGCCTCAGAACCTCACATGACCTTGGATGGGCTCATCACCATACTCAGCAGGAGTAAATTCTAACAGTCAGTAAACAGGAACTTACTGCAATTGTACAGTGAGTCATGGCATACTCTCGTTTTTAATATAGTGTCGTAGGACAGTGAAGCTATAGGAAATTGCTTCTCTGGTTGGTTGGTCCACTTTAACATTTCTGCAGTGTTTTTATTAAATGATCAGTAAGAGAAAGGGCTTCTGACTCCTGACAATTCAGGGCATTTCAAGCGTGACTCACTCTTCAGTATCAAGTTTTGATTATTGTCAAATTTGAGTATTGTCACAACTACTTAGTTCATCACTGCCCTCAGTGCCTTTGGAATCATCACTTTCCAGGCCTTGGGGTAGAATCAGACTCCCAGAAGAGACCCTGGGCTGTAATCCCCCGGTACTAACCAGAATTATCTCAGTAAATTTAACCTAACTTTCTACCATGCAGCCCTATTTTATCCTGAAGCAATGACAACAGATGCCTGTTTGTAATCAACAGAATTAATTAAAGCCATATCTGATTTATTTAGAATTTAAACCATTGAGACAAAGTACAAAGCTTACTTATGTATTTAGATGAGTTTATTTGAGGGTTACCTTTCCCTGTATTTGGTTCATTAAGGTACAGGCAATAAAAAATAATTAATACTTTTCTTGGTCACTTGTAAGTTGTTACAATGTACCTCAGTAAGTTAGATATTATGTCTAATAGAGATTTTGTAAAATGTTGTAGCAAAGCATCTTTGGGATATCTTATGTGCATCACAGCAAATTCTATCTAGAATGCAAACCCTGTGGGTCACTGAGTGGCCTAGACTCAAACTTAGTGAAATATGCCCTTTTCATTTTTCAGTTACCAAAAGAAAAGAGTTGCTGAAATTATCAAAGAACAAAGATAGGGTTTTTTGGGGAAAGAGGACCCCAACTTTACGCCTTAGGGATCCAAGATGTATAAAGATGTACACGTAGCATTGCTGTACATGCACCTGCCAGAAAATCTCATGTCTTTTTGTGAGCACATGAAATTCAAAGAGCTATTAGGGGAACAGCTATATAAACCAACTTAGACAAACAATTTCCTGGGGTTTTTTCACTATGGCTGCTTGTCAGGTGTAGCATACACCCTGCATTGCATGACCTTCAGTTAAACATGCAGTCATCCATCCCTTAGAGACTCTAGGCCTGACACACATTCCCATTGCCTTCCTGAAACCTGACATTTGCCTACAAGGCATTCAGTGCAGAGTTCAGAAACAAGTGGCTGAGTTTCCAAGCTTTCCATGGAGAACTTTTTATAATCTTGACTGCCTGTTTTCTTAACAAAAATTACAGTGGTTTGCTTATCAAGTACATTCATCAAGTTTACAGTGTGCCTTTTGAACTGAGTTTGCATTTCCTTGGGAGAAAAAAAAAAGAAATTTGACTGTAAGAAAAAGGATCTGTAATCTCAGCACTTCTGCAACTCCTGATTAACCTCAAAAACATTCACCCTTGCTTTTTATAAAAACACAAAACCTAAGATTGAGATTCTTTTTTTCTTACCAGAAGAGATTTTATCATTTTAAACCACTGAATGTCATCAGATAACGCTTTTCATTGTCTTGACAAAAAAGCTAAATTGTGGTCAATGGGGGAAGAAGGTACTTGTTGCTATGGCTGGGGATCTTCTTAACCTCTGTAAGAGGAAAAACCTGAGCAGTCTTAGAGAAGAACGACAGGTTTCTGCTAATTCCAGATTTGAACATTGAGGTCATATGAGTAAAGCTAATACTCTGTGTATACTAAAAATATCTGTGTTCGCTTCAAGCTTAGTATTAACACTTTGCCTTTTATCCATATATGCTTCCAAGACTTGAAACCCTCAAATTAACAATGAGCAACAAGATCAATTTGGCAAGAAATGCAAGACAATATACATTTCTGTGCACTGACCACTAAAACAGATGAGTCTGTCTTGATTTTGAACATGGTAATGAGTCCTAATTTATCATTGGTACTTAAGCAGAACCTTAGTTGAAGTTGCTCAGGCATTCTGTTTAATTGCCAAAGGCATATGGTAAACTATGACTAAAACTATTTTGCTCCATGCTAATGAGTTTAGAAATTCAGGAACAACTATTGAAAAAACAGCGAATACACACGCTTAATAACAAGCAAGGGTATGATGTCATTTCAATTACTGCGATAAAGAATATGCCTTTCAAGAGAAGCAAATGTCAAGTGATCAACATTGCCATTTGCTGAATGAAATTATGCTGGTGAGCACTGTAGAAAACAAGCTTTTCAATAAACCTGTTAATCCATTTGAATTTTACTTCCTTCATGATAAAGATGAGTTATTGACATGTTGACACAAACAACGTCGCTTTAAGCAGTCCAAACCCTGCAGTTGATATTTGTGAAAAAAACTAATCATCATTTCCATTTTTGTTTCCAATTTGCTCACTTCTGTTCTAATACTGAAAGCAAAGCAATATTATTGTACAATTCTTCATATTTTCACAGATTTGCAAGTAAATTAAACCCTATAACAATTCCCTGTGAGTAAGAAGTAAATATTGTTGTCCCCTTTGGATAGTTATGAAAGTCGTGAGAGATGTAGAGCGATTTGCTGAAGGCCATATCATGAGTCAGTGTTATATCCAGTATTACAGATTAAGATCATTGCTCTGAGCAATGCTGAGCGTTGCTTAGACCAGGAGATCGATATGTGCTGAACTGTGGGCTATTTTTAGTGGAGTTCACTCTTCATTTTCTGCCTCCATGCTGTGTATACCATCTTCCATATCCTATGCTATTAGACCAATAATACATTTGCATATGTCCTTAAAAGCTTTTTTATGTTGTAATACAAGTGTGGAAGAATTACACTGAATATTTTCCTTGTTCTAATCTGCAAATATATTGTATTTATGATATAGTATGTGTTGTTTACTAATGTTTTTCTTGAAGAATCTTAACGATGTTTTTGTCATTATATGATTCATTAACCAAGAACATAATTATTGACAGATTTCATGTTGCAATGCTAAAAAAGAAAAAAGAGCTGCTTCTAGAAAAGAATTAGGTGCAATATACTAGGAAATTAATGACAGAGTAAATAATTTAGTCACTGAGTAAGAGAATACTTAAGAATGCATCCTAGTCATTACAGATGTCCATTAATAGGGCTTTTTTCTTCAGTTATATTTCCTTACTGATTCTTGATTTTCCATTTGCTGAACATTAAGAAGTGACTTTTCTCTCTGTGTGTTAATTTCCTTTTTTCCTGTCTTTCAATTATATATTGTATAAGCATCCAATTCTCTTATATATAAAAACTCTAAGGGTATTTTCTCAAACATAAACAATAGTATTTTCCTAATGAAAAAAGAATCTTGTTTTTGATCCAAATAATTAATTTTAGAACAAATAGAGAAACCAGAACATCCAATGTGAAATACAAATATTGAAATACTTTCAATTTACCATGTTTGGTTTCAGAAACCTAAGATTCTGTATTTAAAAAATCAAAGGAAAATAATACTGATATCACAGCTCAGCAAGCCTTAACATTTACATCACCAGCATCCTAAGTCTAGACTAGCAAATAACCAGTGGAATGCTGTCACAGTCTGGTTTAGCTTTTGGAGTATACAGATTTACTACAACTTATTTCCTAATACAGGTTTTCATACAATTATTATCATAATTCTATTTTATTTTATAGTGTTTTGGCAATTCAGGCAAGTTCTTGAAACTAATAGAAGCAGCAATCAGAATGAATGCAATATGCTGCTTTACACAATGTCTCTGAAAACCATTCCACACAAACAGTTTGGATTTGGTTCTGCGTAAGGTGGAGGCTGAGCTGGACATTCTCTGTTCTACATGGACGATTCTCACATTTTCTTTTAGTCATTGCAGAAGTTAGCACATTTGCATGCATGCTTCATGTTTTCTTTTGGACATAAGGAAGATTCATGTCATGATTCTTCAGTTTTCTAGGCAGCAGAATAAAATGCAAGGAGTCCGATACTCCTCAAGGCAAACACGCTCCTGCAGATGTGAACAGAAGTCCAGGAGTACATCTGCATTGTACATGTACTAGAACATCCTTCACTTAAAATTATTAATCACTGAACACACCTGAAGCATGACTTTAACAGCCTGAACAGTGTTCCATTTTTGGACTAAGCATCGTCTCTGACTTTTCCAAATGTTAATAATGCGTATGTTCTCACATTTATACTATATGTTCCTTTTAAGTATCTCTCTCCCTTACTTTTTATTGTTCTATTAGATGGATGAATCGTTTGGGTCTTGCAGCAATTGGTTACACACCTGATGACAAGGATATTCATCCAGATGAAGGTAATGCTTCAGAGATCATAATTAAGAGAGCAGAGAGTACATATCTCTTCATTATTTAAATAAAGTTGGAGATGTCATTAACATACATGCCATATCTTTTAAAATATCAATTTTCATAAGAATCCATATCCTTGAAGAACTCTATTTATTAGTGCCACCACTAAAAAAAAAATAAACTACGAGTACTAATTTTAAGAAGCATTTAAAACAAGTGATAAAGAGGACACAAGGTTCAGGGTGAGGTATGATCTCCCAGATCACAGCCATCTCCCATGCTCATCACCCTAGAGCAAGTGAAGACACCACAAACACAAGTCACTATGGGCTTCAGAACCATTTCTGCGTCTCCTGAGTTCAGGTGCCAGCCTTGACTTTTTCAGCATGGAGCCCATTATGCTAAGATAATTAAAATAAATGTTGAAGCTCAGCTCTTCTTTGGCATCTAGAATGAAGTTTTTCTTTGAAAGTCTGTGACCAGGAGCTCTTTTTTAAGTACAGTGGGAGTTATGTGCCTAACCCGCTTTCTGTAATGCTATCCTCAAACATCGCAAGGTTCTTCCACATATCTGTGTATTCCAGATGCCAGACATTTTCACAAGTCTGTTCCTCAGTGACTGCCAAGCCACCTAGGTGACTGTGAAATGTTTTACCTTTGCATGCTAATGATATTTTTAAAATGTGGGGCCTGCTTTCTTGTGGAAAAACACAGTGAGTGAAACCCAGAACGCTTTGTTAGCAGATTACTGGAGTGAAAGCGACCAGGATGACATCGATGGCTCTTTAACCCTGAAGCAGGAAGGCTCCTCAGCACTGTGTGACACCTATCATCGAACACCCTCAGTGAGTTACAAATATTGCATTTGACAGTAGGTCACCAAAAAAATATCTGTGTGCCTTGATTTGCATTTTCCTTGTTTTGGAATATTTAATTACCCTAAAGGCAGAACAAAGACGGCTCTCACTGTAAGAATGAAATTACTGCTGTTCCTCAGAAGCTGAGACATGAATGTTTCCATAACAAGTCAAGTACAAAGGAAGGAGAGGTAAATGTCTCCTTACCATACGTCACAAGACTGTAAATACAACATTTTTGTAGGATTTGGGAGACTACACCTAATAGTATGAACAGAATATTCAATCATTGACTTTATTGCAGAATATGAAAAGGATGTGGTGGATGGGAGAGTTTGTATTAACTGAGATTGTTTTTCAAGCATGAATATTGGATACTGGATGCTAGAGATTAAGACCAGATCACATTCATGCAGTAATCATGTTTTAGTACCAATGCTTTTTCTAAGAACATCATTTTTTTACAATATGAAGCATTATGTACAATTTCATAGTGGTGCAGTACTTTCTGTTAGTGTCATAAGATGTTAAGTAGCTGATAAAAATACTCCTAATATATTGTGTACAGACTAGTAAAAAAACCCAAACATTTTGTTTATAAACAGGCTCTAGTAGCAAATAAGACCATTTCTATTACATGGAACATAGACAGGCTGTGATAATTATTCTGTTTCTGAGTGCAGATAGGACTGTTTTCTATTTTTCTTTCAGATTTTTCTTCAGTGTGAATGACACGATCCACACACAGCCTGAACCAAAGAAAGAGTGACTGAGACAACAGCATCACATGGGTGAAGTTCAGACTGATTTTCACCCATGTGATGCTGTTTTATCAACTGAGACACAGGTTAAGCCTCTCCCTTTCTGTTTTTCCACTTTTTTGCCTTTCTCTTTGTTTTTGAATTAAAATTATACACAGACCCAGCAGAATTACTTAAAATAATTTGAGAAGTTCAGCAGTCCCTCAAAATTCAAAAATCTTCCTGGGTCCTGAAGTTGTTTTTTTTCTGTTTGGCTGGATACTTACCCCCTAAAACAAGAAAGGAAATTAAATTATGGTTTCCTCTGGGGACTTTCATGTCTTCACAGCACACTGCTGAATTGTGTGTAAACTGGACAGGTCTTCAGGAAACCTGTACCAGTATTGTACTGTTCTTTCCAGCAGAAATTGCTCGTGGGCAGAGAATGTGCAAAACAAGAATAGGGAGTGGTTAAAACGTAAAACATAAAAGATCTCACTGCTAGTTATGTTCTGTTTACAGAGGTTCATGTTATGACATATCAAAATACGCACATCAGTCCATTTTATTAGTATATATCATGTAATGTTCTACACTATAGTAATTTCCTTGGGTCTGTTCAAAACATTGTCTTATAGTCAGACGCTTTTGTATCTTTTCAGGTGAATTCTTCCAGCCCATTCCCTGAAGCCCCGCACGGTCGACACTTTTCAAGTGAATCAACATATTCTCATTCTTCTGCCGAGGATTCTCGACAAGATGTAGCAGGAAGCACACACTCATCAGCATGCAGACCTCCCTACCGAGAAAGACGCTCATGGCAGGATTTGATAGAGACTCCGTTAACCAGTTCAGGGCTCCATTTTCTTCAGACTGTTCCTCCTGATGCAGAGTACGTGAGTGGCTGGCCTGGAATGTCGCCGGACAAACGAAGACAAGCAACGCTACCAGTGCAAAGGCGTCATAATTATGAGCAGGATGGGCCTTTTCCTTTGGTGGAATGTCAGAGGGGACATAGCGCTCATAGCAGGCCGCAGAAGCAACGCAGTCAAAGCCTTCCCCGAAACAGAGATGTGAGGGGTAAGGGACGTGTAAAGTCCATAGAAGGAACAGACGACAAGCTGGAAGAGAAAGTCCCTATCAGAAGGCATAACAGTTTCTGTGCAGAAGGTACGCTTTTGGAGATGTTCTGATCCTCTTTACTGCCACTGAAAGTGAGACCAATATTGCCATTATTCTCAGCAAGGTTTTTGTGGTTGAACTGTTCTATGTGGGTAAATTCAACAGACACTAGATAGGAGCTTGCACTTAAAATGCTTGGATGTAGTGCTAAGAATGTAGCTTTGGAGCTGATCAAAATGTTCTTGTTTTATCAAAACAAAAATTTGAAGATTGTGTTATAGGGTTACTTTATACATGAATTTGCAGTAGTGCTTGCTGGTTTTAGAGAATTCATCTGAATTATTAGATCTGTTGTTACTTTATTTTCTTTCAGAAAACGTAAAAGAAATTGGAGAAAATACAGATGGTCTACAAGAGCTATACAAATCTCTGGAACAAGCTAGTTTGTCAGCTTTTGGAGAGCAGCGTCCTTCCACCAAGCAGGAGTTCCGCAAGTCTTTTGTAAAGCGATGTAATGATCCAGTCATCAATGAAAAGCTTCACCACATCAGAGTTCTCAAGAGCACTTTAAAAGTAAGGCTTTATCATTAATTCTGTGTATAAGCAATATAAACTGGTAAAAGTATAATCTCTTAATGTTTTCCATGCATGAAGCTTTCTTTGTAGCTTTAGATTTATGTTCTAAAGAAACTAAAAATACTTGAAAGCAAATGAGTTCCAGCTTAAGGAAAAAAAAATCGTTTGGCACTCTTTGTAGGCATGTTGTAGAATCACACAGAATCACAGAATCACAGAACGTTAGGGATTGGAAGGGACCTCAAAAGATCAAAAGTGTCAAGGATAGAGATAGTAATAGAAATAGAAACAATAGAAAGTGTCAAGGACTGAGCTGTCAAACAGTTTAAGCTGTAATAGTTCCTGCATATAGGTAAAAGATCCAGGTGTCCATAGAAGTTTCCCTAGCAGCTTGCATCAAAATGAAAGAAGAATTAAAATGCTGAAATACAAAATGTAGCATAAATTTCATTTTTACATGTACTGTGTCTTTCTGAAATTTGATAGGCAAAGGAAGGGGACCTCACAGTTATCAACAGCCTTCTGGATGATCCCAACTTAACATCAAAGAAGTTTAAAGATTGGAAACTAAAGAACTATGAGTTTTTCCTGGACATTTGTGAGTACAGTGCTGCTGTGAAATCTCAAAACGGAGCCTCTGAACTTGCAACCTCAGCACCAATGCTGACACATACACACTCATTCATTGAAACTCATGTGTGACAGGACTCACATCCTGAATAATTGCTGGGTGCCATGAAAAATCGAATAAGACAAACACTGTAGTATTTATTGACAATGTACTCAGCAGTACTGTAAATAAGTTGGATAAGAGAATAGTGCCACAGGATGCCTACTACATTGCATGATAAGACAATAATATGCTTTATGAATTCTTCTGTTTGCTGTTATCAACCGATGTCCGTATCAAGCTCTGCATTAGAAAGAAGCAGTGCAGAAGTGTAACTGAAAATAAATACCAGGATATTTAAAGTACTGTACTAAAACTAAGCTTGTATTATGAGATCCTACAATCATTTTATATATTTAGATATATATGAAGACATATCTATGTATATAAAATGTAACATGGTAGTTGATATTTACTTTGAAAATGCCCTAAAGTTTACATTCTCACACATTTTTTCTTGAGAAAAATATAAAATTAAAACATAAACACATTGGCGACTCTTAGAGATGAACATTTATTTTTGCAACATTTCCAGGTAGTGACCATCTTTGCAAATAAAAGGACAGAGTTATCAAAATGTAAACTCAATCCCTATAGTGTGCCTTAAAATGTACACTGTACATCTAGTAAATAGATCCCAGTCTGGCCCTATGGGCATATTGTACATGCCATTTAGATACTGTGCTTGTAACATACTGTGCCTGCCTTTAAAAGGAATGAGGATAAGCAAGCAGGTATGGCACAGAGGTTAAGATACGAGTAGAACAATATTGGTTGTTCACAAATGCTGCAACTTAAACTGATTTTAATATAATTTGAAGTATTTCATGGTGAAAGAAAAACATCTGCGCTGAATATGGTACACACATTGCAGGTTTTCATAGTTTCTTCACTGTGAATTTAAGTGACACATGACTGTGAGTCACAAAATTAAAAAGGCAGGCTTCAAGGAGGAGGATTAAGTTTAAAAAAATCCTGAACTAATCAATTACATTCTGTAATAGACTGACATCTAGAGCTGAGTAAATTCTTCACAATTATGTAATGTCTGGCAATAATTTTTAACTGTTGGTAGTACATTAGCAAGTGGGTGAAGTTATAAAATACATCATTCAAAAACCAATCTGTATGGATTGGTTTGGGAAGACACACAAGTCACATAGTGTATTTCACTTCCTTGCCTGAATGAGAATGATTTCTAAGAATCAGATTTTGGAGAAAATACTTGTATTCTTGGGAAAAAAAAAAAAGAAAGATTGCTCTGAATGATACTGAACATAAATTTCAAACATCCATTCAGAATTTTCTTTGACTGCGCTTGCTAGATATTTCTAGAAAGCAGAACAAAGGAGATGTGAATACAGTTGATGTAATTTCACTTTAACACAGATATTCACTGATATTTTTTTCACAGGATAAACTTAGTTGTCTCTCATGCATCAAGAACTGTAAAATTCATACAGTTCAATATAATGTAGGAAGAAACATTATCTCAATGAGGTCCTAGTGTCCAGGAAGAGATTCGGTTATTCACAAAGCCAGAATTGGGTGAAGGTATCATGTTTGTTTAGTTCAGCCTCCACAAAGCAGCTGCAGTGTGTTGACCTTGGCTGGCCACCAAAATGCACTCACTCCCTCTCAACAGGACAGGGGGAGAAAGTGTGATGGAGAAGCTCATGGGTTGAGATAAAGACAGGGAGATTGCCTACCAGTGACTGGCATGGGCCAACAGACTTGAGGAAAATTAATTTAATGTATCGCCAATTAAAAATAGAATTGCATACTGAGAAACAAAGACAAAACTACAAACCCTTTCCCTCACCTCCCCATTTCTTGCCAGGCTCAATTTCATTCCTTTGTTCCCAGCTTTTCTACCTCATTCCCCTCAGTGAGATGGGGAATGGGGGTTGCAGGGAGATCACAACATTTTGTCTTTGCTGCTCCACCCTCACATTGTTCCCCTGCTCCAGTGTGGGGTCTCTCCCGTTGCCTGCAGTTCTTCAAGAACTGCTCCAGCGTGGATCTCTTTCACATGGGGTACAGGCCTTCAGGAACAGACTGCTGCAGCGTGGGACCCCCATGTGCTGCAGTTCCTGCTAGAAAACCACCTCTCCACAGGCCACAGGTTCTGCCAGGATCCTGCTCCTGTGTGGGCTTTCCACACGCTGTAGTGTCCTTCAGGAATCACCACTTGCTCAGGTGTGATCCTCCATGGGCTGCAAGAGGACAACCTGCTTCACCAGGGTCTTCTCCAAAGGCTGCAGGGGAATATCTGCTCCAGCAGCTGGACCACCTCCTCCCCTTCTTCCTTTACTGACGTTGATGTATATGAAGTTTTTTCTCTTACATTTTCTCACTCCTCTCTCTCCCATCTGCTGTGCAGTGTTTTCAGCCTTTCTTATATGAGTTATAAGGAGGCAGCAACAGCCTCCCTCATGGGCTCAGCTTTGGCCAGTGGTGGGTCTGTTTTGGAGCCAGCTGGAACTGGCTGTGTCCAACACTGGAGCAGCCCCATGCCTGTTCTCAAAGAGGCCACCCCTGCAGCCCTCCCCACTACCAAAACCTTGCCATGTAAACCCAATACAGCAGCTGAAGAAACACAATTCAGATTTGTTTTTTACTAGCATTTATTGAACCACAGTAGATGCAGTGATTAAACAAATAATAGTCTATAGCAATATAAGATCTTCTTAGTAGAGTTTTTCTGATAGTTGGTTTGAGTTCTTTGCATCATGCAGGCAGTTGAGTCACAGCATCATTGCAATGAATGCATAACAACATTGGGACAGGACATACAACACGAAGGGATATTTGGCCTGCTTCAATGAAGTAATCAGCTCTGTACTTAAGAATCACTGAAGACAACGGCTCCTTAAAAGTATGAATCAGAGCTTAGTCATATTTCCATTGAAGTAAACAGCAAAACTCCAGTGACTTCAGAGGAGCAGGATCATGCTGTATATATTTTGCTTGAATATTAAACATGCACTTCCCCTTCTGTCTAAGTACCTGAGGTAATAAAAAAGATACAATAAATACAATTTGCCACCACAAGTTTCAACAATATTGGTGTTGCGGTATTCTTGCAAAACATAGAACTAAATTGAAATGTATTTACTGTGTGGACATTGTAGTTACTGGACAACTGATTATCAGAAGCATAAACAGAATTTGTCTAGCTTTTCATATCAGATCTCCAAAATTTATATATTTCACTATTTTTTAATACTACCCTTCATATAATGTGAAGCAAGCAACGGGCTACATTATAGAAGTCATTTGGAAACCAATTCACACTGTGCAAGTGATCACAGAATTAGTTACGTGGATCGAACTTTCAATATTCATAAAGAAATTTAAACATGCTTTTGTTTATAAACCAAAGGATGGTTTGTGCTTTCATAAAAAATATTTATAGGATTTAAAAAGAGCGCCCAAAAAGGATTTCAAATGCTGCTGTATTGTAACTCAAGACAGAAACTACAATTGTCTATGAAGTCCCTAGTAAACAACAAAACAAGATAGTTCTCTTCTAAAATGCTAGAGATACAGCTGAAAATGACAAACATAATTAGGAAGATATATTTATCAAAAATAACAAATAGTAAGGAAAAACACATATAGTAAGGAAAACAATCTCAACTTTAATTTCTGAAAGTTAAAAAATATAGCTGATATAAAAGTAGAGATAAAAACTTGAGAGATCATACTTTTGCTGAGCTTATCTTTAAAATCTTTTGAGGTCACAAGTTCATCTCTTCTGAAATTCTTGGAGTCATGAGTCTGTATTCTGCTCTTGGAGAGCAGTTCTCATCAAATGTGATTTGCACTGAATAGTCAAGATAAATTATCTGAGAGATTCATAAGGTGAACTGAGATACACTGGAGAAATTTCCTATAATGAGGTTAAGATTAACTGGGAGAAAAGTCTGAAAGATTTGTCTAAAATTGCTTATGCCTTAGAGCAAGCAAAATCTAATTGTTAAATTAAGCTACACAAAGACTTCATTCTTTCACAAATGTCAGCTGACATTTGGAAGTAATTTCACAAGAATTTTGTCATACTCCTTGCATGCGTACTTAACTCCATACTTTCCCTCCCCACCACTGGTTTCTTCTTTCTGAATCCAGGCACAAATCTAGCTATACTATAGAAAGTAATGTACCAAGCACCACAGCCCAATTATCACAGAATCACACAGAATCACAGAATATGAGGAGTTGGAAGGGACCTCGAAAGCTCATCCAGTCCAACCCCCCTGCCAGAGCAGGATCACCCAGACCAGGTTACACAGGAATGTGTCCAGGCGGGTTTTGAATGTCTGCAGAGAAGGAGACTCCACAACCTCTCTGGGCAGCCTGGGCCATGCTCTGTCACCCTCACAGTAGAAAAGTTTTTCCTCATGTTCAGGTTGAACCTCCTATGCTGCAGCTTGCTCCCATTGCCCCTTGTCCTGTCATTGGACATCACTGAGAAGAGCCTGGCTCCTTCCTCCTGACACTCGCCCTTTACAAATTTATAAACATGAATGAGGTCTCCCCTCAGTCTCCTCTCCTCCAAGCTAAAGAGACCCAGCTCCCTCAGCCGCTCCTCATAAAGGAGATGCTCCACTCCTTATGTGGAATTTCACAATCTTTGAAATAACTGGAATGCAAAGTGTAATACACACACTGCATTTAAAAATCCATGCACCAAATCCTGTAAGGATTTGTCAGAAATATGTCAGATCCTCCTAGACTGAAAGGTACTTAAACACACCATACAACGCAGCTGAAATTATTATGGTACTTTTGATTAGACACTTCTAAATGAGAAAAAAATATTCTTTGCTGTTGAGTTCATCAAGGGAAATCCACAGCACCAGTACAATACATTCATTAACTTACCAGATTTCCTGCTTGAATGCTTAGCTAAAACTTCATTCTTAACATACAGAACTACACAAAGAGATTGTTTGGATGTGTTTTATGTATCTAGACCTTATTAAAGTTTGTGTCTTCATTCAGAATTCCTGCAGGTAAAATGTCCCTCAGCCAGCAGACTTTTTCTGTGGCTCTACAAGCTTAGTCTTTTCATTACTTGCTATTTCTTATTATAACTGATTTAATGCTCCCTCTAAGCTACTGTTTCTCCTTCTTTTTTAATAGTGTTCTGTATTCACGGAAATCTTGTTTTTTTGCAAGCGATCTTAGTAGCTATCTCAGCAGCACTTCCTGAGAAAACAGCTTTTTCTTGGTTTCATTAATTTAAGAGAAAGCCTCCCTGAGCTTACTCTAGTTACGATGAACACAGATCAGAGGAAGAGGTTCTTTCTCATCAGTTCGTATGTCCACCTTTACCACAAGTAACGCAGAAATCTCGGCCCCACACTCTGTGACAGCACAGGCAGGGTTACATTTGCCCTCACAGTACCCAGGGTGTGTTGGATTGTGCAGGGCATCTTTACCCTCTGTAACACAAGAGGCTGCTTCTCTTCATTGCCAAAAACCACCCGGCTGTTTCATCAGCTTCTGATACAGCTCTGCTTTCTCAAACACATCAGGATCACTTGTTGAACTGCTTTAGCACCAAGAGGAAAGGCTGATCAGTTGCTACGAAAAGATTGGGGAGGATGAGATTTTTCATCTTTTCCAAGCAGGGAATTCTGAATATTAGTCAGCTAA